TGTCATCGTGTTCATCGATGATATCTTAGTCTACTCAAAAAGTAGAGAAGAACATGCTCATCATCTTGCCCAAGTCCTCCAGGTACTCAGGGAAAAGAAGTTGTATGCAAAGTTGAGCAAGTGTGGATTTTGGCTCGAGCAAACCGCCTTCCTAGGACATGTTATATCGAAGGAAGGGGTGTCGGTGAACCCCGAAAAGGTTGAAGCGGTACTTGGTTGGGAAAGGCTGACAACAGTTAAGGAAATTCGCAGTTTCCTAGGGATGGCGGGTTATTACCGCCGGTTTGTCGAAGGGTTCTCCAGTCTAGCGGCCCCTCTAACCCGACTCACAAAGAAGAATGCAAAGTTTGATTGGAATGAGAACTGCGAAAGGAGTTTTTCAGAATTGAAGAAGCGACTGACTACTGCACCCGTGCTGGCTCTACCGAGTGGATCAGGAGGGTATACAGTTTATAGTGATGCCTCCTATCTGGCCCTGGGTTGTGTCCTGATGCAGCATGGAAAGGTTATAGCATATGGGTCTAGACAGCTAAAGAATCATGAGAAGAACTATCCTACCCATGATTTGGAGCTTGCCGCAATCATACACGCCTTGAAAATCTGGCGCCATTATTTGTATGGAGAGACCTTTCAGATCTACACCGATCATAAGAGCTTGAAGCACATCTTCACTCAGAAGGATCTCAACATGCGTCAGAGAAGGTGGATGGAACTCCTCAAGGACTATGATTGTGACATCCTATACCATCCAGGTAAGGGCAACGTAGTAGCCGATGCCCTCAGTAGGAAGAGTGCAGGCACCCTAGCCCATCTGATGGTTTCGGAATGCAGGTCCATTGGGGCTACGCAGCAGGTTCGACTGCAAGATCTGAAGAGGGCCACATGTTTGAGCCACCTAGCAGTCCAACCCGAGCTAATCCAAAGAATAAAGGAAGCCCAGTCAATCGACTCCGCCCTAGTAAACCGCAAGAAGGATGCAGAACAGGGAGTGAACTCAGAATTTCAGATCTCTGCCGACGGATTGATTCGTTTCAAGGACAGAATGTGTGTCCCAGACGACAATGAATTAAAAAGAGACATCATGACAGAGTCCCATAGTTCAAGGTTCGCCATGCATCCAGGAAGTACAAAAATGTACCAAACTATGCGACCCCGATTCTGGTGGAATGGGATGAAGAGAGATATAGCCGACTTTGTATCTAAGTGCTTGGTATGTCAGCAGGTCAAAGCAGAACATCAACGCCCAGGGGGGTTGCTTCAGCCTTTACCGATTCCAGAATGGAAGTGGGAACACATCACCATGGACTTCGTATCGGGACTACCCAAGGCACGATCGGGACACGATGCCATATGGGTAATTGTTGACCGACTCACTAAGTCTTCCCACTTCCTGGCCATCAGAATGACTGATTCGTTGGACAAGTTGGCAAGAATGTATGTCCGGGAAATAGTCAGACTGCATGGGGTCCCAGTAACAGTGGTATCCGACAGGGATCCCAGATTCACTTCTCGGTTTTGGAATAGTTTCCAGCAAGCTATGGGAACAAAGCTGTCCCTCAGTACTGCCTTCCACCCCCAAACCGATGGACAATCA